CTACTTAACTATACAAAATGCCATTGTCCAGGAATTGGTATCTCCTGACATGTCCAAAGTACATAAAAGGAAGTCTTGCCATCCTTGCCTCTAAGAAGCACTCTGGCCATACTTCTTCCAAGACAGATCATTTTTATCCTTTTAGCAGTCTAGGGTACTTCTACATTCTTTGGCAGCACCACAATTCAAATGCATCAGCTCTTCTTCAATCTTCCTTATTCAATGTCCAACTTTCACATGCATAGGAGACCAGTAGAAATACCACGATTTAGGTGAGGCGCACCTAAGCCCTCAACGTAACCACCCTGCTTTTCAGCACTTTAAGGGGGTCTTGTGCAGCAGAGCGACCCAATGGAGCGTGTCCTTTGATCTCGACTGCTGCCCCATGAGCACTGATTGTGAATCCAAGCAAGACAAAATCCTGACGACTTCCATCTTTTCTGCCTTGATGTCTCCCATTGGTCTGGTTGTGAGGATTTTGGTTTTCTTTACATTGAGTTGTAATCTCTATTCAAGGCTACAGTCCTTGATCTTTATTAGCAAGTGCTTCAAGCCCCAGTCACCTTCAGCAAGCCGGGTAGCGTCATCTGCATGTCAAAGGTTGTTAATAAATCTTCCTCCAACCCGAACGCCTCATTCGTCTTCATATAGCCCAGCTCATGTTATTTGTTCAGCATACAGTTTGAATAAATACTGTGAAAGGATACAACCCTGATGTACTTCTTTCTTGATTTCAAACCAAGCAGTATGCCCTGATTCTAGTCAAATGACTTCCATGCATAAGTTGATCCACGTACAAGTTCCACATGAGCACAATCAAGTGTTCTGGAATTTCTATTCTTCTCAATGTTATCCATACTTGGTTATGATCCACACAGTCAAATGCCTTGGCAGTGTCAATAAAACACAAGTAAATATTTTTCTGTTATTCCCTGCTTGGAGCCAAGATCCATCTGAATGTCAGCAATGATATTCTTTGTTTCACGTCCTCTACTGAATCTGGCTTGACTTCCTAGCAGCTTCCACTCCATGTACTGCTGCAATTGTTGTGGAAGGATCTTCAGCAAAACGTTACTTGCATGTAATATTAATGATCTTATTCAGTACTTTCTACACTCTGAGTCACCTTTCTTTGGAACGGATACAAATATGGATCTCTTCCAGTCAGTTGGCCGGGTACATGTCTTCCGAATTCCTTGGCATAGACTAGGGAGTCCTTCCAGTGCTTCATCGGTGTGTTGAAACATTTTCATTGGTGTTTCGCCAGTTCCTGGAGCTTTGTCTTCCACTAATGCCTTCAGTACAGCTTGGACTTCCTCTTTCAGTACCATCACTTAGTAATTATATGCTATCTCTTGAAATGGTTGCGCATCGACGAGTTCTCACCCAAAAACAGATGAACTAAATAGCCCTAAATCGCTTAAATAAATTCAATTTATTGTCAAACTCCAGACCCAAATGGCTTCATTGGTGATGTTTCTTAAATATTTAAGAAAGAAATAATATCAATTTTATACAAACTCTTCCAGAAGATAGGAGGAGGAAGTTATGAGGTTAGTATAACCTTGATTTAAAACCAAATTAAGACATTACGAGAAAGAAACACTGTAGATTAATATTCCCTATGGACATAAACACAAAACTTCTTAATAAAATGTTAGCAAATCTAACCCAATCAACTATATAAAAGAATTATAAATCAATACCAAGTGGGATTTACCCTAAGAATGCAAGAAGAGTTAACCATTTAAAACACTGTAAAAAAAACCTCAGTAATTGATTTTGAGCCCCATCCCACCCACCCCCATGCGCCACCCCCCAAAAGAAAAACAAATCCCTATATAATCATCCCAATATATGCAGAAAAAGCATTTGAGATACTGGAACACCTACTTAGGATTTTTTTTTAATTTGGAAAACTAATACTAGAAGGAAATTTCTCAATTTTCTCATAGATTCTAAAGGAATCTATGAAAAGTCTACAGCTAACAATATACAATGGTGGGGAAAACATGAATCTTTCTTCTCTATGTTTGATAAGAAAATGCTTATTCTAATCACTTCTGCTCAAAAAAGTACTAGTTATGGAACAAAGAATATTAAAGGTATAAACACTGGAAAGGAATAAATAAAACAGCCTTTATATGTGATATGATCATCTACATAGAAAAATCTCAAGGAATCCACAAAACCAATAAATTATCTTGAAAGCTACAGGATGCAAAGTCAACATTCGAAAATCAATCATAGTTACGGAGTGAGTGCAGCTATAAACAATTAGAAACTTAAAGCTTTAAAAGTATTATTTGCAATAGTAACGAAAAGCCACAAAATACTTCGGTATAAATTCTAGAAAAATATGTGCATGTAAAAAATTGCTGAGATAATTTAAAGAGCAGATAAATAAATGGATAAATATACCATATCTATGAATCAGAAAACTCTTATGATTAAGATGTTAATTCTCTCCAAGGT